ATCCAGGGATAAGAAGATGATTCACTGTTACAAGTGCAAGGAGGCGGGACATATGAAGCGAGACTGTCCGAAGTTGAAAAAGCAGACTGATGAGAAGCGTGATGGCTCATCCAAGTCTGTGAACGTGGTCGAGGATGATAATTCTGATTGCAGTGAGGGTGATATGCTTTCTATTTCAACGACACAATTGACGGATGCTTGGATTCTTGATTCTGGATGTTCTTATCACATCACGCCAAATAGGGAATGGTTTTCGACATACAGGCCGGTTAATTCTGGTTCGGTTTATTTGGGTGATGATCGATGTTGCAATATTGTTGGTATTGGTGATGTCAGAATTAAGATGCACGATGGCTCCGTTCGGACGTTGAGTGGTGTTCGACATATCCCAGACTTGAAGAAGAATTTGATTTCCTTGGGCACTTTGCACAAGAATGGTTTTATCCCTAAGGCTGACGAGGATAGGGAAACCATTCGGATTGTTAAAGGAGCATTGACTGTGATGAAAGGCAAGATGACTGCAGGGAATATCTACAGATTGTTAGGGAGTACCGTTGCAGGTGGAGTTCACTCTGTTGAGTCCTGTGATGATACGACAAAATTGTGGCATATGCGCCTTGCTCATCTTAGTGAACGTGGTATGGCAGAATTACACAAGAGAAACTTGTTGCATGGTGTCAAAAGCTGTAAGCTCGATTTTTGCAAGTATTGTGTTCTTGGTAAACAGACTAAAGTCCGTTTTAAGACTGCGAAGCACACAACTCAAGGGATTCTTGATTATGTGCATTCTGATGTATGGGGGCCTTCCACGACATCGTCTTTGGGTGGATCTAGGTACTATGTTACTTTTATTGATGATTTTTCACGGAAAGTTTGGGTGTATTTTTTGAAACAGAAATCTGAAGTTTTTGAGAAGTTCAAGCTGTGGAAAGCTGAGGTAGAAAACCAAACAGGACGAAAAATCAAGTGTTTGCGGTCTGAAAATGGTACGGAGTACACAGATTCACAGTTCCTACAATTCTGTAAGGAGCATGGGATTCAGAGGCATTTTACAGTGTGCAAGACACCACAACAGAATGGTGTTGCGGAACGAATGAACATGTCGTTGAATGAAAGAGCCAGATGTTTGCGGTTGAATACGGGGCTTCCCAAACACTTCTGGGCTGAGGCTGTTAACATGGCGTGTTACCTTATCAACAGATTGCCAAGGGCATCGCTGGCTGGGAAAGTTGCAGAAGAGGTATGGACTGGTCATGATGTTAGTTTTGATAACTTACGGATTTTTGGTTGTCCTGCTTATGTGCATGTACCTGCTGATGAGAGATCCAAACTTGATGCAAAATCGAAGGAGTGCATTTTTCTGGGTTACAAGAAAGGTGTCAAAGGATTCAAGTTCTGGGATCCAGTTGCGAAGAAAGTTGTGATTAGTAGAGATGTCGTTTTTGATGAACAGTCCATGTTGCAGCAGAAGCAAGACACAACAGTAGTGGATTTCGAGCAGTTTCCAGTTGAGAAACTAGAAACTTCTCAACCGACTTCTGGTGGTTCCACTACGGATGATTTGCAGGATTATAGTCTCGCCAGAGACAGGGTGAGATGGACGAATATAAAGCCTCTGAACAGATTGGGTTTTGAAGACTTGGTATCTTTTGCACTTATTATTAACAGTGATGATCCGGTTACTTTTCATGATGCCGTTACTAGTCAGGAAAACGACAAGTGGATGGCAGCCATGGTTGAGGAGATGAAGTCTTTGAATCACAATCGCACATGGGAGTTAGTTCCCCTTCCTGAGGGTAAGAAGCCGATTGGTTGCAAATGGGTGTATAAGAAGAAACCAGCAGTAACAGAAAAAGAGGGGGAGAAGTTCAAGGCTCGTTTGGTAGCGAAGGGTTTTTCACAACAGAAAGGAGTTGATTATGATGAAATCTTTTCTCCTGTGGTCAGGCACACTTCAATCCGAGCAGTACTTGTATTGGTGGCTAGTTGGGATTTGCATTTAGAGCAGATGGATGTTAAAACTGCTTTTTTGCATGGTGATTTAGAGGAGCAGATCAACATGCGGCAACCTGAAGGTTTCACTCAACCTGGAAACGAGTATTTAGTTTGCAGATTGAAGAAATCTTTGTACGGGTTGAAACAGTCTCCGAGACAGTAATATAAACGATTTGACTCCTATATGATCAAGATTGGCTACAACCGATGTGAGTATGATTGTTGTGTCTATGTTAAGAGCCTTGATGATGGTTCTTTTATTTTTCTATTACTGTATGTTGATGATATGTTGATTGCTGCGAAGAACATGGATGATGTTATCGGTTTGAAAACTTTATTGAGTCAGGAATTTGATATGAAAGATTTAGGTGCTGCAAAGAAAATTCTTGGAATGGAAATTTGCAGGGACAGAGACTCAAGGAAACTGCGGCTATCTCAACGGGGTTATGTTGAGAAAATGCTAGAAAGGTTTGCGATGAGCAGCGTGAAACCAGTTAGCACTCCATTGGCGAATCACTTTAAGCTCTCATCAGAACAGTGCCCTAAGATAGATAAGGAAGCTGAAGATATGGCAAAGGTTCCGTATTCTAATGCTGTTGGCTGCTTGATGTATGCGATGGTATGTACTCGTCCTGATTTAGCTCATGCTGTTAGTCAAGTTTGTAAGTACATGTCTAAACTTGGTAAGCAACATTGGGAAGCAGTCAAGTGGATCTTTCGGTACTTAAAGGGTACTGTGGGACATGGAATTGTTTTTGGGAGTCAGTGGGATAATCCTTTAGTTGTAGGATATGTGGATTCAGACTATGCAGGTGACTTGGATAATAGAATATCTACGACAGGGGTATGTCTTTACTCTTGGTGGAGGGCCTATTTGTTGGAAGTCTACTGTTCAATCTATTGTGGCTCTATCTACAACTGAAGCTGAGTACATGGCAGCGGCTGAAGCTGCAAAAGAAGCTTAATGGCTTACTGGTTTAGTGAAGGAGTTGGGTGTTCAACAAGGTGGAGTTCAGTTGCTTTGTGATAATCAAAGTGCTATTCACTTGGCTAAGAATTAGGTGTATCGTGCTAGAACTAAACATATTGATGTAAGGTTCCACAAGATCAGAGAGTTGGTTGCATCTGGAGAGGTTTTGTTTCAGAAGGTACATACTGATGAGAATGCCGCTGATATGTTCACCAAGCCAGTTATGACAGACAAGTTCAAGCATTGCTTGGACTTGTTGAATGTTTCGAGTTGTTAAAGAAGCAAGGTAACCCAACCCACATTGAAGTTTCCAAGGGGCAGGATATTTGCCAAGGTGGAGATTTGTTAGGTATGGCTCATAAATATACCAGTAAAGAGGATAGGAGATGGAGCAGAGTGAGCGAAGCGAACATCAACTGTCCTTACAAAGAAAGTCTCGTTGTGGGGTTACGAATTATGTGGGTTGGGGGTGCGGGGGCGTAGGCCCCGCGGTACGGTACAGGGTTAATTTTGTAATTATGTACCAGTGTTTTCTATTATAAATAGAGATGTAACCTAGACCTAAAATATCATTGAATAAAACTTCTAGCGCCGCCTAGGCACCGAGGACGTAAGCACATTACCGAACTCGTAAAATTCTCGTGTTCTTTTGTTTTCTTTACCTGTTTTCGTCAACAGTAAAGAGCTCATAGTCTAGGCAGCTCTTGCTTATGGTTTCTAAAAGTCTGATTTTCTCTTCAAAAATCGAGAAGTCAAATTTTCTCTCTTTTTCAGAGAAAAGTCTAATTAACTCCATTCTTTGATATCTCTCCGTCTAAATTAGAAAGAGTAAATCGTCATCAATCGTTTATTTTACGATTCAACAAATATAATTAATATTTCGTCATTTGGTATGTAGCTAGCTACTTTTATATAATTAATATCGAGAGTTTTCGTTTGTCGGCAAAGTGGTGAAAGAATTAAATAATACGACTACACAAAAGCTGCGTGTGTGAAGTTATGCCAGTTAAGGAAGAAGAACAATGTCATGGAGATTCAAATGTGATTGGCTGGGGTGTGAATGGCTGTGGACCCCTTCGAATTGCAATTATTTATAAGATAGCACAGCAAAAGTGAAATAATTAGGGTATGGCTTCTCCAAATTCCAAACGTGACACCTCAGCATGTCCGTTGGCTTCAAAATCGTGAGTTGTATTGTGATGGGGACCGTGTCTGACCATACATTGGCACCGACTAATAAAAGCTGGCCCCCTTTATAAATGAATTGGATTCAGAATGGGCGACTTCTAAGGATTATTTTATAACTTTTTAAAAGTTTAGTGATAAAAAATAAATCCGAACATAATTGAGTGATGATTTTCAAATAGATGATATAACGAGTTCGGTCTACTTAAAGGAGTGAAAATTGCAAGCCAGGTGAAACAAAGAGGTACCCATTTGCCACATGTCACGTGGGTCCATGAATTAAAAGGAAGGGTCCCACATGTAAATTTGGCTCCACGTGGGACCTTTTTCTTCACATGGGGATGTTTCTCGTGATCCAAAGCTCCAGGATTCACTCTAAAGACTAACCCATCAAAGCCGTTAATTTTGGTCCACGGTCTTCAATACCATCGGCTGTACTTGTCTCTCCTTTGTCCCTTTCACTTTGGGCACCCTAACTCAACGCTGCCCCCGCATGTGACCGGCAGCCACATCTGTTGCTGTCTAGTATCCAACCCACGCGCTTCCCCTACACATCTCCCTACCCCCGTGCCAAAACCCTCGTTGATTGGTCATCGAGGAAGCGCGTACGACAGCGCGAATGTGGGATTATCATTTCCCTTCGATGAGAACACATGCAGAAGCTTAGATCATTAGATATCATCCTATAAAACTAGCTTCCTTCACATCTTTCTCATCATCACAGCAACAGACTAACAAAGAAGAAGATATTCAAAGGAACCCTTCAAAAATCAAAACCAGTATAACCGCAAGCGTTTACTTGCTTTGAACAAGCTCAAGCAATTGCACCATATATATTGGTAGGTCAACAATGGAAGTGAATTACGAGAATGGTCTCAATCTCAAGGAAACGGAGCTCAGGTTGGGGTTGCCGGGAAGTGAGGAGCCCGAGAAACAAACGACCACTAGGCCTAACAAGAGAACTTTAGCCGGAATAAGTTGCTCCGGCGTGACAGACGATGGAAACGATGATCATCAAGAAAGTGCTCCTCCTGCAAAGTAAGTTCATAAAAACTTGTCTTTTAGAAACATCTAGCCAAAGACGAGAAGAATTAGATTATAATGGTTTGAATGAATATATGAATGCAGGGAAAAAATTGTTTGCAAGCCAAGAAAAACGAGGTTGAAGGAGGGGCGGGGAAGTATGTCAAAGTGAGCGTCGATGGAGCTGCTTACCTCAGAAAGATCGATCTCAAGGTTTATAGAAGCTACCCTGAACTCCTCAAGGCTTTGGAGAACATGTTCAAGCTCACTATCGGAGCATACTCGGAAACAGAAGGGTACAAAGGATCTGAATATGCCCCAACTTATGAAGACAAAGATGGTGACTGGATGCTTGTTGGAGATGTTCTTTGGGAGTAAGTTCTCTTGTATGATTATATGTTTGTATGTAGTTTTCTTTCTTCTTTTACAATAAGCTCATTAGTATTTCCTTTTGTTCTGCAGAATGTTCATCTCATCCTGCAAGAGGCTGAGAATCATGAAAGGGTCAGAATCAAGGGGTTTGGGCTGTGATGGACCACCCCCACAATGAACAAAATCACAAGGCAGGAAAGAAGTAGAAATACTTGAGACACAACTCTGTACATAAGATATATTACTGCTTTTCAACTCGACTCGATCGAATCGCTCACCCCATTTTATGATCTTCTTGATCCATGCAAAACATTGGCAATGCACTGATTGAGGCCACCTCTTTCAATTGCCTTCAACTTTAAAGGTCGAACATGCAAATACAAAAAGCAAACATATAATTCCAATTCCAAGATGAGACTGAACAGCTACCTTGTTCTGCCTATTATCCCACCATTCAGTAGGATTGGTGAGAAAAGCTTGCCATAGTTCCATAGGAGAGCCGGTACTATTCGCGCCATAGTCTGTGGAGGATGTATGTAGAACCCAGGGTGGGTATGTGCCCATATTGGAATTCAAATTTTCTTATGTTAGTTGTTCATTTTATAGAAGTTGTCCACTTAGAAATTTTATTTGTACCAATCCGATATGAAAAATTTTCGTTATTAATACATATGTACTTATCCTGAAAAATATTTCTGGATCAATCATTAGCTATAGTTACCAAATTGCCTATCTGCCATAATTAAATCCATGTTAAAACTGAAAGTATAAAGCAAAATCACACTTCTGTTTATCCAAAATATGACTTACTGCTCAACACACCACCAAAGCCACGATCATATGAAGCCATGGAGGATGAGTTCCTTTCCATAATATTTAGGGTAAATTATGAGTTTAGTACATAAATTATCAATTTTGATCCATTTTAGTATCTAAACTTTCAAAATTTTCAAAATCATACTTAAAGTTTAATTTTTGTTTCATTTTAATACACTGTTCAAAAGTTAATGTTAAGTTTTGGAAAAAAATTGAAAGTTTAGGAATTAAACACATTACGTTTTTAACGACGGGTACTAAAATAAAACAAAAACTAAATCTTAGGAATGATTTTGAAAAAATTAAAAGTTTAAGTACTGAAACGAACCAAAACTGAAAGTTTAGCTACTGAATGCATAGTTTAACCTAAAATTTATTACTTGGACAACTATCTAAAATGTAACACCGAATACAAGAAAAACAAAGGGTCTATAGTGATTGTAAGGACATATAGTTCCATTTTTCAATGAACCAAGAAAAGAAAAGAAAGGGTTTATAGCGATTGTAAGGACCAGTAATAAGTCTTCTGTTTGCCATAGTCACTTTTAGTGGCGGAGCCGCAACTTGATAAGGATGAATACGTGCATATCCTCAAATTCGATTTTTTTTAATTAATTGCTTATTTTACTAATCATTTACTATTTATCTTATGAAAAGTGTTCACCTGAAATTTTATTTATATTAAATTCATTAAAAAAATTATGTTACTAACATGTGTGATAATTCTAAAAAAATATTTCTGGATCGGACATCGGTCACCTTCGATAGTATCCGAAAACAGACGACCACATACATATAGTTGTTGCCCTTTCTCCACGTGCTGATATGCAGTATTAGCCAGCTCGTCCCAGAATGTCAAACTAATCCTAACCATTATTTTTGTAAATAAAAAATGAAAACGAAAAAATATGGACAACAAAAGGTAAAATCTTGCAATAAACTTTCATATGCCCTAAAAGGAAAAGTGAAGAAATTACCATGTAGTACCGGTGGGGATTTTCCGACGACAAGTCGAGTCCAAAGTTACATCATACGAACGTTGAACGCCTTTTTCATTTACACCCCTAAGTGCTACATGGTTTATCATCCTAATTTACAAATGCATTAACATTGAATGGTGCAGTCCATGAAGCAGAAATTAAACGAATTATATTTATAATCAAAGAAGTAATGAATTGCGCAGGTGGCAATGGTTGTAGGAGTTGCTCCTGTTCGCGTTTATGAGGTTGCAACTTTTTATTCAATGTTCAACATATCAAAGGTCAGAATCTTATTTCTATGTTTTGCAACTCGAGACTTCTTCAAAGTTGCAGTACCATATGGATTTATTCATTTTATTTTCAGGTTGGTGGGTATCATCTACTGGTCTGTGGCACAACACCTTGTACGATACGTTGTTCACGAGAAATTGAAGAAGGCTTATTGAATCACTTGGGGGTTAAGCGTAACTGTGAGTGTTACGCAGAACTCATGCCGGAGTTTGAAAATTTTGATAGTGTTGAAGATTAAGTATCTGTTGTCTTCTTCGTCAAGAGGTAACAAAGGATGGCTTATTCTCGGTTGGATAAATGGAATGTATGGTAAGTTTTGCCATAGGCTTACTTACTTCTTTGCCCATGTATCCATTGTTACTTGAAGATTATCACGCTAAGCGCTTTCTGCAGGGATGTTGTGTAAATGCTCTGATGATCGTAGTTGCTGATTACTCCAATGGATCTGAAGGATATACGTATAATTATTATGCTGGTTTCCTGGGAACTCCTTTCAGCTTGCTATAATTAGGTGTGCTCAATTGATAACCTACTGAATTCTAATCTATGCATTGCAATGTTTAACAATGCAGGAAGATCTTAGTCCCGAACGAGTTGTTGAGATAGTTGAGATGTAAAGAAAAGGAGAGAAGCTGCCGGTAAGCAACCGGGCCGGAAAATGCTTTGTTTTCCTCACAGTACCTTGGGGTGTTTTGAGTTCATCATATATACATGTAAATGTGTGTATATGTATTGCATAAAGATGCCAGTGCCACTAATGTACATTGAAATATCTCTTTTATACGTCAGCCTGGCACCCAAAATCCTAAACGTATAATGAGTGGACCTGAAGGAGGAAATACCACTTTGTTAACCGATCCAAAACCTACCCCTTGCCGAGATCTCGATGCCTGCTAAAACGTATGCTAAGGTTGGTGTTTCCAGGCTTCTCTGGGTTTCTTATTCTTGTTGAATTTTGTCAAGCTCAAGCAGCCATTGTTTGTGTTTCTTTTTTCTTTTCCCAATACGAAATCTGGTGGATATTCCACTGAATTTTAACTCGGAATAAGTTTCTAGATAAGTAATGAGTCTTTGTACCGGATGATTGACGGTAATGTTCGGCATAGTTTTTTTTTGTACGGAAGCAAAAGCCATAACTGTGGCATTGGAATACCTTGATGTTTTTTGTTCTTCAAGTTCATAGAAATTAGAATAGTATCTTATTTCCACTGTTTGCATACATTTAACATGTTTCTCTCTGCTCAATGATGGCGCAGTAGAAATTGAAAAAGGAAGTCAAATTACACTCTGGAAAAGCACTATCAAGCATCAGTTGGACCATTGCAACAAGCATTTTCGGAAGGGTCCACAACCCACTAACCAAAAATCAGGGCCACAACACAAGGAGAGTGCTTCCATCATGGTCCACTACCCCCCTTTATATTCACCAAAAGGAAGAGCATATGTAGTGAGTGTGCTTTGACAATCTAAGGGCCTGCCTTTATTCTTTTTTAAAAGGCATTGACATCAAACCCTGTTTTAACCCCAAACAGAAAAGGTGGAAATAAAGGCAAAGGAAAGAGCTTATGGCATCTGACCTTGATTCCAAAACAGCTCTCATTTTTGTTCTTTTCTCAGGTTTATGAAGTGGGATCTGTTTCAGGCTTAACAATGGAGGAAGAAGTATCCGGTGGCTGTGCGTGGTAAATCGCCGTGGCCAGCGAGATAGGCATGATACAAAGAGCCTTTGATTGAAGGAATTGCATGGCTGCTCCAACATTGTCCTCCATGAGCTTAGCAACTTGTCGCTCTGTGCCATCATTCGACCACTTCTCCCATGCCGGTTGGCTTCTTCCACCTTCGCCCCTTTCATCCTGGTGTACGATAGAACAATCATTAGATGAGTAAAAACAGACTTTTGAGATTATTTGTTTATTACCTCAACCGAGGACAGCGGAATGTCCATCACTAGGGGTGCCACTGCAGCAGCTCCCCCTAACCTACTCATGGTCAAAACCTGTTCAACAATAACATATTATAAAGAAGGGGAATTTTTTCCTTTCAAAATCTGAAAATGGAAGTATGAAATCAATGTGGTAAACAGAGATAAAAGATACCTTGACTTGGAGCCTGAGGAACTTCACATAGTCCACAATTTCATCAAGCATGGCTGCTCTATCAGTCTACACAAAGAACCATACAGTGCCATTACACATGGTTAAACTTTCTTCCCAACGCATGAATTCTACCATAAAAGCGACGAACAAGATGGAACTGACCTTATTGACACTGGGAACAAGTTCCTGCAATGCCCTGATCCTTTCAGCAATTCTCTCTCTGCGCAACTGTACCGAGAAATGGCAATCAAATGCATAGATATCTCTATATTTCTACATATGACTTACAAAATATGAAATTGTGGTTGAATCATAATGTTTTAAGGTCACGGCCACACCGTAACCACACCCATAAGATAAAAACATAATTATTTTTAGGAAATAAATCGCGTCCTCAACAACTTCAATATAGTTCTATTATTTTTAGAAAATTATTCTTACCCGCTCAGCTATGCTGTGTGGATCCGTTGCCTGTCCTCTTCTAGCTCGAACTCTCGGGCGCATGGTCGGCGGATGTGGCGCGGCCGCAACAGTTCCTGGTATTGGCTGGCCATGGAAAATATGTAAACTTATTTGAGTCACACCACTAATGATACAAATTTATACAAAACGATAGCACTAACGTTAATATAAATTACCATTGTTTTCTTACATTCTTCACAGAAGAAGCTCTGCCATCGACCACTCGGTCGCTGAAGCGCTTGCCGCTACCGGAAGCTTCCTCCTGCTTCAAAAATCCGCCTTTGCCTTGCTCCAAGCTCAATCCCAACGGAAAAACCTGACCGTGAAAGGCACCACCTCCACCACCGCCGAGATGTCCGGCACCATCAGCTGAGTTGAGCTGCAGAAACATTGGCGCTCCAGCTTCCACACCGGTTCCAGCCAATCCACCGTCGTGTCCCGCTAAGCCCGTGCCAGTATGCGCAAAGTTAGGCAGTCCGAGGATTTGCTCAAAGAAATCATCAGCAGGAGCCTCGTTGGGGTTACCAGCCATGAGAAAGTAGAAGAAATAGAGGAGAAAGTGGGTCCAAATGAGTCGAAATGGCGAGTTAGTGCTACCAAAGAGCTAGCATCTACACGCAAAACGGGAACGACCGAGGCAAAAGCTAAAGCTTTAGAGAGGACGAACAAAAGAGTGGGATTTTATTGAGGTTAAGAACGGAGCTCTTTACGTAAAAGGGAATGGAGTTGGACCAAAATTACGTGGGAAACCATTTATTTTTGTCCTGCTTGCTTGCTTTAGATTACTCCATGTCCACGTTTTTATAGTTGGTGTCGGAAAACGGCGGCAATTTTTTTTAATTTTGTACTAATAATGAATTCCGGCCAACTAATTACTCTGCGGATTTGTGGGTGGGAACCAAATACTGCTTTGCTTTCAGTCTTTGCTTGCTTGATTTTTTAGTTATCCAATTGCATTTTAAACTTTAATAAAGCTATATGAATTTTTCCATTTGTTTATACATAAAGTTAATTGTACTATACTTCCTTAAATTATACTTAAATTCTAAATGATATTCGTAAATGAGCGGGGGAACTGAAGCTGTTAAATAATTGTTATTCGAAACAAATCAAATGATATATATGATAATACAGATGATTTTGTGTTAAGAATGGTACAGTAAAAAGATACTATAAAGTTTGGCTCCCTTCCTGGCTCACCATCTTCTCATTCAGTCCCGCCTTAGACTCGAATAATCTTAGATCAGATAAAGGAACCTATCAAGAACAAAAAACCGATTGGCGGCCGTTTCATATGATAACTAAAAAAATGGAAAAGGCTCGCCCAAGATGATTGTTCGAAAGCATACCAAACCAAATGGCACGGTTGATTCTTGGTTAATCCGATCTTGCTCTGTTTGAACCACTTTTCTGATGGTTGTTGTACAAAGGTAAAAGCCAGGACGACAACGACCCGTGTTTCCTTCTTCCCAGGTAACACCGGCAGTATAGTATCCCTAATGCTATCATACAAGCAATGGGAATGGCCCATCTGCCAAAACAAATACAAGCACATAAGATATGAACAGAACGGTTAAGAGGCATACAAGAACAAGCAGGTTTGTATTGAGAAGCAAGGGAAGGCATTTATGTTGTATATTATTACCTGTCCAAATCAAGGATTGGGCTATAAACAATGGTTTCCCAAGTGGCTACGATAACGTGCCACACGGGGTTGTAGTAAAGAGCCTCCGGCGACCAGAACATCCTCGTATATGTCTCTAGGAAGATAAAAAGTACCCAAGCTGCCATTTCAACCAATATGAATTTTATGATGAACCGACCGACCACCACCATGACAAGGGAGAAGGCCACCAACCAGTTGAAGAGCCTTTGATTATATTCCTTGATAAACAAAGAACGTGCCTTTCCCATCATCTGCAATATACATCAAAGGAAAACATATTACGTAGCAAAGATGTAGGATAATACGAATTGTTGCAATTTGAACAATGCACCATAATTGTATCTTTTCCGTTTGATAGGCAAGTTTTAAATGACATGCCCCACTTCTCATCCAGACTTCCTTCAAAAGGATGGTATTTAGTTGAATTGAGATTACTTTGGTTTCAGCTCCACCGTTGAAGACCGAAAGTTATTCAACAGGGTCCCAAAGAACTTCAGTAATTTAAGCATTAAATTGATTCAGACTCGTTTGAAATGCTATCTAGTGCTCTTAATCATTAGAATTGAATGAACCTTCATCTTTCCAGCTAAATATTTCAACATGAGGAAAGAAACTGAGAAATGAACTGCAGAGGTTCCAGATTACCTTCATCATCCTTTGCTCGTAATTTACTTTTGAAGGTCCGACACACTCCTGGTCAAAGCTTTCATTACATTGCTGGAAACCTGCACTAAATTTTGCCATAGAAGGAAGTCTAAGAACTTGAAGCTGGTCCATTGTGTCCTCGCATCGGGTATATAGTTCTTCACAGAGCCTCGTGGACTGATATTCATTCATCATACGGACATTTTTATAAGCCTAAAAGAAAACTTTCGCATTAAGAGTCAGACTTATTACTTTTAACATCCAGATGGGCATATGTATCAGATATAAGAACACGCCTAGCATGATAAAAGGCTGAAATCCAAGATTACCGTACGTGGATCTCCCATCAAAATAGAAACATTGGAAAACTACTCGTATGATTGTCCATCAAGTTTCCCACTAATTTTCTTACTTGCAAAATCTCTTTGTACCATCAGTAAACAAGAACTTGAAATGTAGATAAAAGGAACCAATAATTTGAATGCCCCAAGTATAAAAAACATTACTGAATGAACTAAAAAATATCATTGATAAAAAAGAAAAGGGTAATGCAACTCAAGCTGCCAGTCAATACCTCCTTCATTTCTTCATCTAGTTGCTCAGCAGATTGCTTCGCATGGTGACGGCCAAAATGCTGTTCATCAAAAGCATTCATTGCTTTCTCTCGGGATCTTTCATGGACATCTTGTAAGGATTGCTCCGGCATAGGTAAACCTAATTTTGCCATCTTTTCATTGTACAGCTTCAAACACCGCTCGATAATACCTTTATTGAAAACCTCTACAAGAGAGCCCGTTGATGGGATCTCCCCTTTATTCAAAGCATCAAGTATCTAAAAGATAAAAATAGAAATGCATATTACTAAAGCTTAAGTTGGACATCAATCAATCATCAATGACTCATTGAAGAATTCTCTTCATAAAATCTCCAACTTAAAAGGCTGAGAATGTGAGCATAAACTAACCTGCTCGAGGAATGCAACAAATTCCTTTCCATTTAAATGCTTGCCCTGCACAATCTTTGGGCGTATAATACTAGCTACAAGTTCTTTCAGTTGATCTCTTTTCTTAACATACATGGGATCAAGGTCGTCATCCTTCAGTTCACAAAGCTTTGTTCGCATGAGATGAGGCTGTAAGTTCAAATTTCAAGCAATTAGATGCTAAATGTTCAAATTTAATTAAAAAAAACTTATCCATTTACCAACAAATAACATAGATACACAGCAACAGGCTTATATGCATTCCATCGTCCTAAGTGTCTACTAGCACACACAAATGTTTTTGCTTTCCATTAACCACCGCATAAAACAAGAGGTAAATATTGACCATCACAATGATTTCTAAAAAGTCTACGTAGATACATGATGTCATAAGTCTCTTATAAATTATTTACATCAAACATCCATTCATATTTCTGTTCAGAATGACAGCAGCAGAGGAAAAGGGGAGAAAGAGGAAAGAGCCCAGGTAATATTTGACGAATAAAACAAACACATTCGAAACTCATACTTGTGGTAAGCTAAAAGCCGTGCTGTTATCCCCCATGACAGCTAAGGAGTCCCGAATCTGGTTAACCTGATAAAGTTCGAGAAATTGTGAAATCTCTGATCCAAGAAAAGGTAAATCTAGTGATAGCTTACAGGTATGGTCATGGAAGGAATACCTGATCAATATTTTTGTCCCCTGAAGATACAAAAGAGACACACCATCATAAGATTATCACAATAATAAAGCAAGATTAACATAAAGACGCATCTTTCCAACAATGAAGCAGTACGGACTACGGAGTAAACTAACCATCAGTATTAGGGACATGTCTAAGTGCCTCATCCACCATTTCTTTCACTGATTTTCCTTCTGCATAAAACCCAGAAAAATGTCAGTGAATTGCCCCTATATTGTAGGGAAGAGGCAATAACTAATGGTACACTTTATCTAAAAAATGCATTCAGTTCAGATTTCTCTCATTAACAATAAAAAAATCTAATCTACGTGGAAAAAAAATAGAAAAGAGATGCACCAAGAAAGGAATGTCTCCTAAATCTTCCCCAGCATTTTAATCTTTAAAAGAAGATTAAGAGTATACGAATGGATTGAAAGGAAAGTTTAACCAGACGTACATACAAGCTATTAAATGAATCAATAGTAATCTGATGTAGAATAAAAGCTAGAAAGGAATAACTCAGATGCAGTTATAAAGTTACAGGCAGAGGCAGTGCAATATAAGCTAGCATGCCCAAGGTCATTCACGTTTAAAGTAGTAGGGCCTTATTACACTTCAAAATCATATTCCGGAAGACAATTATAAACTTACGCAGAAAATCACGCTGGATAAGCCACAAAAGTTTTGCAGGTTCAAAAGCAATGTCTTGACCCTACAAGAACACAGTTTCTCATGAATTGTCACAGCAAAACAGTACAAGCATATATATGAAAAATACTAGTCCAAAATTACCTTCACTCTGTTCTCGATGAAATTTGGATCAAGCAAACCACAAGACGGATTAGTGTCTATATTAACAGGCATTAAAAGTAAAAAACACCAAGCTTGCACAGTGCATATAATTGATATTACTTTCAATTCAGCACATGGAAGAAGCGCCAAACCTTCCATAAAATTCTTCAGCAAGCTCAACAGCAAATGAAAGTCTGGATATATCAGCTTCACGAATCTAATGACAGAACAGCATAAAGAAGAAGTATCAATAAAAAATAACCCATCAAAGGAAGCTGCTATTTCTGTGTGCTTCAACACTTTTGACCCTCACAACCTGATGCGTAGACTGCAATGCTAAATAAAGACCTTAAGGCTTTGCTTGGTTGAGTGGAAAAATGGAAGGACCGATGAAAGGAGGAAGTGGGAAAGTGAAAAGAATAGTGAGAGGAAACACAATGAGAGGGATGATCATTTTCCATCCTCATGTGTAAAACCAAATCATCCCAATTTGGAAAGAAAAGAGAGAAAATGTAAGAGAAATGTAAGCTGGTTCAAAATCATGTATTTTTCAAAGTTTAATATTCTTTCCTCTCATTTTTAAATTCTACCAATGGAAAGAAAATATGTTTTCCATGCTTCCACTTTTCTACCCTCCAATTTTCTTTCGTCTACCAAGCAAAGCCTAAATGCTAAAATTCCCAGCATAACGTTATAAATGTATAGTCAGAATAGTCCTTAGAAAATAACAGGATAGCATGTTAAATTTATCCAAGAGGAGGCACCTTTGTAAAAATTCATATATTGCAAGAAATTTTTCTTTAAAATAAAATTTCACGCAGATAAAGCAATTTTCAATTTATATTTTTTTCCTTTTATGAATCAAACATATCTTAACCCGAGAATCTCACACCTACTTAATATATAATGATATAATATCTAGCAAAACCAAGAGTCATATGCAGTGCCCTAAACCAAATTTTAGTCAAAGAACAATTAATGCATAGTGCGGTTGTCCTAATTTTATATCTCAAGAAACATTTAGATTCATGGAAATTTAACTTGAATTATAGTGGTTAAGCATCTAAAAACAAGTACAGAAAAACTAACTAACCGTCTCAGGCAGGTTATAAATTAGCACAGAGCTCATAACAGTTGCCAATGCAAAAATCCTGCATCCCCAGAAATCAGAAAGGCAATATAACTAATATACCACATAAATAAATTTGAAGTACATATGTTGGAATTACCTATCGTCATACACATTTGACTTCCCAACACTTTCAAAACCCTCGGTGTCAAGGTAAAAAACAGAAGTCCGAACTCCATCAATATCCATTTCTAGTGGGGTTCCCCAAACCCAAATCCCTGATACGGAGAAATGTAAACATCAACTGTGCAGCCATTATGCATAATTGTAATATCATTGCACTCTTTTACCCTTTGTTTTTGTGTCACGCATGTGGCCAACACCAAATCCTGAGGGGTAAACAGGAAAATCATAAATAACATGTCATCAAATAAATCTCGACTAAAAAACTAAAAGAATGTTGAAAGTTACAGCAAAGAGCATATGGCAGTCAGAATGCACCTTCATCACAAGACAGTGAAAGAAGTTGATTTAGCAGAAATGATTTTCCAGAACGGTAGGGACCAATGACCTGGATGTACAAATCCAAAAAGTAAGCGTTGGAAAAAAAGACCAGAGGAATTATTCTGGAAATGCATTTTAGGTAGAATTTCAAGTTTGATGTGAAACCAATTACTGTCAACCAGTTTTCACCCAGACTAACTTGTTTGAAATCATTGAAGATATCAGTAATAACTAAATATTGTATGATTTGAATCCAATATGTAACGAACACTACCACTATGATAGCTATAAATCATCAAAACTCATACTCATACTCAGGATTTCAACACTCATACTCAGGATGAATTTCCCAACAATCATACTCGTATTTCCATGATATCGGCATTTTTTTTAATTCTTTTCTTACTTGCCTGGTTGAAAAAGGGGTATGTACAGACATTAACACTTCACGTTTTGCAGTCTAAATAATAAGTCTTTCTAATTTCTTTGTTGGGACATTTGCTTTAGCAGATCATATTTAAGCCTAACTGATATTCGGATTTAGAAGACAAGAATAAACTGCCAATCATACTGGATTTTTGGGAATGGCATCTAAAACTTACAGCGACTGCTGAAATTGGGGCAGTTATTCTGCTGATGGCTTCCAAGCCTTCCTGTGAAAGTTGAAGCTTCGTATGACCAGGATCAGGCTCCACGATAGGAAACCTATGCGTATAAATTGAAGTAAAAGGAAAAGAAAAGAGACCAGCTTCAGATAAAGTAACACCACTTTGTCCATTCAAGAATATGTGAAGTAAAAGGATCTGGTTCCAAGAAGGCGTTTGTCAGTCACATTTAATTTACAACTGGAAAAAAAACTTGCCTTCAAAAGCACATATCTTTTAGCTAATACTGAGCATATACCCAAAAAGTTGGCTGCAAGAGCGCAGTAAGTTCTATCGAAAAAAATGCAACTTCATGCATAAGCATAATGCTTATTCAATAAGCTGGAAACCAAGCATTCAATGACTATAATATCTTTTAGAAGAATGGATAAGAAACTCTCCCCTATATTAAAACAACAAAGCTCATTATTTATTAATGACGCAAACCAAGCACGTCACATGGATTTCATAGCTTCAGTGCTTCACTTCTTTAGTTGCACTACTACATCACAAATTCTATCAACAAATGCTGCTTTATACTCCAAAACTGATTTGCCTCTTCATATTTAATCCCTTGTGCGTCCAGTATATAGAAATGAAACATTAAAATAAGTTTCGGTTCATGTAAACATCACCGCCAAGCAAGGAGCGGTCAAAAAACTCTAAGAAGAACAAAATTGTGGATTAGTCCAATCAAACAACCGGATTTCTCAAAACATCACCGCTGAGCAAGGACCCTTAAGTGTCAATACTAGAACCGTCACTTCACCGGAGGATCGATACTATAATCCAACTAAGCAATTGCATATTAAATTGTCTCAAGCTGTAGTCTTTTCTTCTCAAGATTCATTTTTTGTCATTCAACTTGAAGTTTACAATACTTAACATTCCATATAACATCAACCCTAACATCCTTCATTCTTTAAGTCTATGAGAGCTTAGCATAAACAGAGAGGTCAACAAACTTGGTTCGAAATTGCCTATCAGAACATTACTTCTAGTTATATTTGACACGGACATAAAATTAGTAATATCATGGCAGCTAGTAGTCAAACCTAATTGTATTATACCAAATCAGGAACACATCCAACGAAAATAAATAAATAAATAAACGAACTATATATATAACACTAATTGGCGGCAATAGCTACCGATAAATCAACAATGGCCAGCGAGATCTTTTAAAAAATGCAAAAGGAAGTGTCTCGTTTCAAAGCAAATAATAAACAAATCATATCCTAATCAACTCTTAACTACTCCTTGCAATAAAATCAATCCAATACAGCATCAAAGTTTAAAAATACAGAAACAAAGGGAACTTACGGTTGGTGAAAGTTGTCAATTGACGAAGACCCAGGCCCCAAAAAGAGGAGAAGAATCGAAAAAACAAAGATCCAATAAGAAATCTCCATTGTTAGCAGAGATCGTTATTTTTCCGGTGCAGATATAAGAAACTGTTCGAAAAGGCAAACATGAAAAGGAAGAGAGAAAAACGTTGGGATTTGAGTATAAAAGAGAAAGAAATAAGATAAAAAAAAGGTAATAGCAAGAATGAGATCTAACGAGACCCAACAGATGGGTGTACGTTAAGAATCGTGAACCCGCGAGAAAGGAAATTCATGCTGCATCTACACTCTACAGAGAAAAGCACGTACGAAACCAAGAAAGAAAGAAAAAAAAATGGAACATTAAATAATCGTGGAGCCTAGCGCAGCTGATCCATGCCTTTTCGGATTAGAGTTTTCTCCTATGTTGGGAAGCGCGTAAGGAGTGGTCCTATAAATTCTAAACACCTAAGGACCAATTTTGTTATTAATTTTAATAATCGGTAAAAATTTATCATAAATATTATTATTTTTACCAGCTTTGTTATTATCGAGTGTTTTATTGATTTTGTTAACATATCCGGCAAACACTAACGGTTTTGTTATTTTTTTCTACCGATTTTATTATTATTGATAATTTACCGAAAATGTTAAAAAATATTAATATTTTAGATAGTTTTTTACTGGTTTTGTTAGCCGTATAGTAAGGGTGTGTACGTAGAATTTCTTGTGGTTATAGGGTTAAAACCGAAAGGAGAGAAAGGAAATTAAATATTTATAATACTATTAAATATATTAATTCAGATTAATTTTCGTAAAGAATTATTATCGAAACGATGTTCTAAATCTAATTTTTATTATCCGAAATGTGTGACATTTATTTAAACAATCTATCATTTTATTCCATTAGATCGACTACTAATTAATTATATATTTTAATTACAGATATTCGAATATATTAATTTACTTGTAATGTTTTCAAAAAGATTAAATATTTCATCGTTGACCCTTTTCCCTTAAATTTTAACAAATATTAAATCATTTGGTAATGGCATAGAGAGACATTTCATGGCATAAATGAAATTAGCATGACAATGATTTGCAGAATCAACGGAGAAAAGTTCAACCATGGTGAGGACGTGAGGTTATTACTGGTATAAATAATAGTAATACGTAGCTCAAGTCGTGTCTCATGCTTCACAATGGCAACCCCATGAGGCATGAAACGCAAGTGTGACTATTTGTTTGTATAATACGTACAAGTTGTTAATTTGAAAACCATTCATTTCATTTGCATATTGGGTCGACGATGGTGACCAGTGGAAATATATATAGCTCGTTGATGTTTTCAATTGAATTACGAGCTGAAAAATCATAATTAATTTGTAATTATGAATGAATTATAATAATTAAATCATAATATGAATTGGTTGGATGATACAGTTATCTTTCTGAAAATAACGTCTAATTATTTAAGTTTAATATTAAGAATTTTAAGAGCAAGCACATTTGGTCAATGATCAAATTGTTCATATTTATTCTATTATATTTTTAAAAACATTTCTCTTCTGTCTTCTCTCCTCTCTTGATAGGATTAAGAATAACTTTTTAAATTTAGAATTTGTAAATATACATATATTAAGAGCTTTAACTATATATACAGATGCATGATATCAAAACATTGAACATAGGGTTAGGATCATTTACACAATGTAAAATTTTAGATTTACACAGATTTAGGATCGTTGGATGAGTGAAAATAGATGGTTAAGATTGACTTTTTTTTCAATGAATATCTTCTCATTTCCTACCTAATCCAGTCATCTATTTTTATTTATTCAACGATCCTAAATCTATATAAAACTAGAGTTTTACATTATGTAACATGATCATATCCCAGACATATATATATATATATGTGTGTGTGTGTGTGTGATGTAAAAATATTCAACTAGAATTAGAAGAGTTCTATTAGTGGTTCAACAAATCCATACTATGATTGGACCGATACAGAAATCCCATAGCCCATTAAGGTCGTTTGTTTAACGCATCTACCCCAAATAAATCACTAGGTAAAATATTCAGGACTCTCGTGTTTTATCAACTCGTTTTCCTCCTTTTTTTTCTCCACATTCCCCTTTTCTTTGGTGCAGCCACTTTTCCAAGTAAAATGCCCTCCGGTACTATGCCATGCTTCACCGATTTATATATTTCAAACTCTGTTTTAAAAAAAAATCGGTTATGAATTACGTGAAACGAGTTGGTTCAAACAACGTCCGCATGCATGATGAATTACGTGTGTTTAAAAGGGCCAACAACATATGCGTATAACTTTCGATGGCCAACAAAAGTAAAAGCTCTCAATACCAACTCTGATCTTACATAATCGAATTGACCGACGTTAGCCGTTGCAAAGGCATGGCCTGGTCCTCAGATGGTCCCCGTTGTTTTTGAAATTCTTTATGATTCAAATTCTGGTCGTATTACAAGTAAAAAGACAATTTTGAACCCCACCCACTGAGGAACTAATTACGTCCACAAATTCGGGATATACATAGGCCTGGCCTGTACTAGAAGCAGCTTCATAAATTCTAATGGATTTCTCTTCCTCCTTTTTAAGCTCTGCACCAAATAGTTAATGAACTGAACCTCCTAATCTAATCTCCAATGCCCTAGGACTAGGAGGGACCATCACCCACAATGCCCTCAACGCCAACACAGCTTCGGCTTCCCCTTATAGACAACGGGAAAAAACAAAGGAAGAAACCGACATCAAGCCATATTCAACAGCCAATATCAGAATCGGAATAATACATATTCTTAGGAAAGCCAACTACTACACGTACAAAATAAATAAATCAATGTCACCAAACACAGCATTTGGACTGACGCGAATTAACTAATATTTGGAATTAGAATAGCTATTAGAGTTCTTCTCAAACCTCACAGGCTTTATCTGAAACTGACGTAATCATAATTACAATAATTGAAATCCCGGCTCGGTCCCATGTCATTCGCCAGGCAAACGTAAGATGAGAATGGGAGTATTATTAACAAATCAGCCAAAATCGTGGATCATAACTAAAAACAGTAACATAGAGGTATTTCAATGTTCAGGTTACACCAAAACCATGAACAAAATCGATTCGATCCAAACCACGTAGGCAGGGTAAATAGTTACAAGATTATTTAATGCCATTAACAAAATACCTGGGAGGGGAAGGAGGTATGATCAGTTGAAGCAATTAAAGAATAGCTTAGGCCCCCTAACCTCACAATCACAGCGCTAGAGAACGCACGAGTCAACTCCTTCCATCATCATAAAATTCAGTACCTAAGAGAAGAACATTATTCAATATCACAAACTGGTAAACTATAATAAACATAAACAAATAAGGCAAAGCACAAGTGATGGGTCTTCCCCTTTTTTCATGTTTGTTCTGTGACTACAGTTCAAAGATCCTTCGCTGCAACAGAAAACTTATGCAGAAGTATACCATGCCCCAGTAAGAAGAATATGAGATGACAACTAAGAAACTGCACCTGGTTTCAAGATGAAAGAAGAAAGGGCAACCAGCTCAAGAGCAAAATTCTATCTTGTCTTGTTTATCCATTTATATAACAATCTGATTTCATATTAGTAGTAAAAATCAGAGATCAACCCTTACATATAAAAAAACAGAAGGGGATTTAAAGAGTTAACCATAGTATTTGGTTCTCTAATAACCCAAATGGGAAATAGGGGGGGGGGAATGAACAGTCAAAATTCTCTTGGTTCATCTTCGATTACTGAATCTTAATCCCAGTCTGTGAGCTCTTGGGTTTTGACTCAGGGGGCTTCCACTCCTTTCTCCACCTTTTCCTTCCCTTCGTCCTCAGAGCTCTCAGACAAAAAAAATATGGACTCGTCCAATTCTGCATCTTCAACCAAGTTTTTATCGTCCGAAATCAATTCAATAATTGGTTGGTCTTTCTCCTTAGTTTTGGCATCGAATTCAGATTCTTTAAGTGTCCCAATTGTGGGTGTCAGAGAGGATGCAGGAGCAAGTGAAGGTGTTGCTCGGTTGCAAGGGGAAAGCCATTTGGCGCTGACATACTCGGCTTTACGCCATGGAGGAACATGCATTCCCTTCTTCTTCAGGCTTTGCTTAGCAGCCTCGGAAACAATAGCAATTATCCTCTGGAGACGATCAGCTTTGCCTACAAAGATGAAGGGAAGCATTTGAAGGATTGATTTGTAAGTCTTCGTTGATCGGGCAATTTCAAATTCTGATCGGAAATCAACGTCGATCAGCAATCTCTCGCCGTCAATCATCACATCAATGTATTCATATTCCCCTGCTTGTTAAAATAACAAGCTATTGTCATTTCAGTAATCTAAAAAAATGGAAAAATGTAAATTTAAACCACAACAGAGAGAAACGGATAGCACAACTCTCCCAGATTTATAGAGATATTTCTAGAAAAAGATGAGAGAGAGAAATTACCGGCGGGATAAGAGGGAGATTTTTCCCAACGAGATTTGCAAATAGAAGCATCGTATCCAACAGTCAGTAACCCATCAGTAACAATCTTCCTGCAGAAATCATCTTTACGTTTAGAAATTTTGTTCTTCTCCATAATCTTCGCTGTATGAGCCAGCAAATTCCTTTCATTCACACTCCCACAAGGAACCAAACTCTATTCCATGAAAAATGAGAAAGGATAAAACAAATTAGAAATATATGTTATAGCTTATAATAAAAATCTATTTTGAACAAGGCAGAATTATTGCTTTACCTTTAGAACTTCGGATGTTTCAGCCGATGAAGTGATATTGGAGTCAATAGAATCGAAGCCATCCATTTCGTCTTCGGAGCTTTCGTTGCAGATACGATTGAAGCATTTAGGGCGGCTACGATTACACCTAGCCGCACCAGATTGATGTTTCTCGTTGTTCTCTTCGATGAAATTTTGCACCATCTTCGCCAAGTAAACGGAGTTCGGCTCGAACTCCGCCGTGCATTTTTGCTGAAAGGCAGCTCATCGGCTGCAACGGCATCCACCTTCTCCGCCGCGGAATTCCTCAGAACGCTAGGAAACGGGCGCTCGAACAACCTCTTTAACCGTGATTTCACCACTGGCTTTACCGTCTCCAAACGAGGCGGCGCTACCACTTCTGAAGGGCTGA